AGCCCAGACCCCAAAAGGGAGGCATTGTTGACCGACCGATCACTGATGTATACAACTGTATCACATGCTCCGGGTTATCGCCTACAAACACGAAGAAGTCCAAAACACCCCCGGTGCTTTTCAACGATAAGGCCGGTTGTGGCAATAGTGTATAATCTGTGTGTTTAATAAGGGAAGAAGCAAGCATGGTGATATAATTTTTAGCATAAATGTGCTAGAGTATGGTATAAAAGTAAGTTAACACTAACCCATAGCATTACTATTAAGGAATAGTATGCCATGCGCTTTGCCGTCCGATTCCAGTACAGTATAAAACGGTTGAACGCCGTATAAATTATGCATTTCCTATAGGATAAAAAATTGTGTTTTTCTTGTTATAAGTAAATTAAAATTTTTAATTTAAATAATAATTGTTTTAAAGTTGTAATAAAACATGATGTAGTTCTTACTTCGTTGAGTGGTACGTCACGAGCGAATAGCGGCCAAGTCTTGTAACTCAGGTCGTGTCGTAGGCTTTGGTGCACATTCTCGCCGAAGCCGTAGACGTTATTTGTGGCCAAATTAGTGGCCAATTGTAAGAATTGATCGGCAAATACTAAACCACCGATTGATGTGTCAAAACTGGTAGAGTAAGGGAAAGGGAGAGAGGATTATATACCTTATTTAGTTTACTTTACTTTAATTACAAATATAACTTACATTTTAGTTTTGGTGTCTTTCCGAGTGATAGTGAACTGAAAGTCGTTGAGATCAGTGCCGACGTCGACGGCATACCTGCGCTTTTGCTCGTCTCTCTCAGTCCTGTCCATCAGATTATCTCTCTCTCTCTCTCACTCACTCACTCACTCACTCACTCTCTCTCTCACTATATGACTACCCTCTCACTAACTGTAGCCTCCGGAAGTCCCACAACAGACAAGTTCGATTTCCGGTGGAAAACCCTAAAACTGTGGGACCTGGCCACCCTGGACGAGGGCCGCGAGTTGTCCGACGCCAACATAGCCGTCATAATCGCTCAAATGAAACTCCAGGGCATAAAATATCGGCTCATGGGTCTGGACATAGTCGACCGTTTCTACCAGCGTTTTATTAACCGAGCTGAAAAATATATGCCCTTGGCCTTTTCCGTGATCGACGCGTACCAACCAGGCAATGCCACCATGCGCAAAATGTATTATTTTATGATAGGCATCTCGTTCGAAGAGTACAGGTGGATGGGCGAGAAGTTGGATGTGGCCAGAAAGAATGTGCTCCAGGTCAAACTGAGCGAAAAGGAGTTGGCTACAAAATTACATGGTATTCAGCAAACAATCCTAAAGACTATACTCTGGGCCTCAGATTATATCAGGCAAAAGGGCGACACTTTCTGGGGTTCCCTACATATACTGGTATTGCTGTTTAATTATGTTTTGCATGAATGTAAATAATTAAATTGTTTTTTGTGTATACAGTTTCATGATTTAATGACAGACGAGTTTACCATGTTGAATAACGAGCTTGATAAATTACCTAGCGGCGAACTGAAAACAAAGGCCCTGCATGTTTTTGTTGAAGAAATAGGCATGTTATTGATATAGATGTTTTATATAATTATTAGTAATATAATTAAGCAATAAGTAATTTCCCTAATAAATATGTTGTTTTATTGTACTTTTATAGAAGTGTTATATATGTTTTATTAAAATAAATATTAATTTTTTGCGATAATATCAATCAATATTATTGAAATACTGTTAAATCAATACTAACAAACAACCTGTCAATAAATTAGATTAGATTAGCCGCAAAAAAGCAAATAGAGAGATTAACTATAATAAATTAAATAAGACCTTAATGAAAATAATTTAAACATTTGTTGAAATATTTAAATGTTTATATTATTTATTATGTTAAATATTATTTAACAAAATTTCAACATTTTTAGTGAAATAATTTAGATACAATTTTACTGAAAGTTTTATTAATTTTTCATAATAATAGTTACAACTTTACAACTCATTCATTTTACTCTTTGTAATAAACAAATAAAATAAATGTTCTATGTAAAATCAAATTATATTACAATTTGTATTGCAATAATCAAACTTATTAATGCTATTTATGCTCTATCATAATTTATAGTTATATTAATTAATTATTTATTAATAAAATTATAACATTCGAATATTTTAATATAATTAACAAGCAAAATGGAGAATCAAAATAATTACATCATTAAATGAGCAATATACCAACCTCTTCTAATAGCACAGTAAGGGCTTTAGACTTTTTCTCACTGCCCTTCTTTAATTTAGCTAGATCGGCGTTGATCTTGCTAAACTCATCAGCAACTAAATCATGTATCTAAATAAAAAACAAACAAATTTAACAACCAGCCCAATTTAACCTCACAAGTTATATAACTAATTAATTTACCTGAATATGCAACGAGCCCCAAAAAGTATCCTGGCGCTTGAACCTGATATAATCGCTGGCCCACAACACTGTCTTAAGTATAACCGCTTGCATTTTGGCCCAACGGTCGGCCAAATTATCCTCAGTGTCCGTTATTTTCAGCTGATTTTTGCGCCTGATGTCCAACTTGGCGCCCACCCACCTATACTCCTCGAATGAAACACCCAGGTAGTACTGGTTCATGTGGTTGAAAGTGACGTTATCGGGCTGGTAGGTGTCGATCACAGCCAGAGCGACTGGCAAATATTTTTGGGCCTTGGTGATAAAACGCTGGTAGAAATCGTCTATGATGTCCAACCCGTGCCACATGCGATACTTCATACCCTGTAGTTTCATTGCCGCTATCAATACGTCTATGTTGGCCTGGGTGAGTTGTTGCATTTGTGGCTTGGTACATTGTTTCCAGAATTCACACGTTTTCCATCGGAAGTCAAATTTGTCCGTGGTCGGACTGGCAGCAGCTATAGAAGTTGTATAGTTATGGGTTATTAGAGTAAATTATATAAACATGTAACAATAACAATATCTAGGACATGTTTTAATTTATAAGGCATTATTTTATTTATTCTTATATAACATATTTTCTTCTGTTAGTTAAAAATAACACCATGTAATTCTTGACAATTATTTTTAAGCTTACCTATTGTTATAAATACGCTTAATAATATAAGTTTCATTCTATAATAATAGAAATTATTAATCCTTAATTAAATTGATAGTTTTAAAAATTATAATTTCAAATAGTAGTTTCACATGGGCAAGAAAATAAATATTTAAACAAAACCTACAAATATAATGCTATAAACTCGTAAAAACTTCTTATTATATACCTTAATGCTTTTGTATTTGTTTTATCAAATGATGAAAATGTTAATCCCTGTCAGTTATACAAAATGTTTGAGTTCATAACAAAGTTCGTTTCTATTAGAAAGTTCATTAAGATATTTGTATTAAATAAAATAATATACGTATGTGTTAAAAGCTTTACTACTAATAATAAAAATTACCCTATTTTACATGCAAAATCAGCGCTTAAATTAAAGCCATTAATTATTAATTAAGTAAATAATTAAAATCTGTGCAAAGTATATTCCATCAATATCCTAAATGAACTTTTTATAAACTCAAAACTAACTATGCATTTATTTTCATCTCAATAACAATATTTAGTGTCACTGATTATTAATACAGTGATTGTAGAATGGTTCTTATTTGTCAATAACAACCGTGATAAATCAGCCTAGAACCTAAGTTATTAAATATAAAAATGGTTGTATTAGAATATTAGTTAGATATTAGCATTTATAAATTATCCATAAGATTTTAATTCATAAACACAAATAAATAATAGAACACAATATCGAAAAAACAAATTAATTTAGATGTCATATAAAAAAGTATTCACAGAAATGTCATTGTAATTACCAGAATTATTTTCAAGTTTGAAAGTGATCAAGTAACCTATAAACCAAACTTATTGTACTGAAATAAGGTTAAGAAATTATTTATTATTTCACCTACAACAAACAGTAAATTGAATAATGTACAGTATACGCTAACAAACCGTGAGGTGCCGCTGTCATAACAAATGTCTTACAGTGCTATTAACTGTAAATAATAAGCCTCACTGTCATAATGTATTTAATCAAGCTAATCACGATGGTGGTTACGGTAAAATATATAATCCTGTTGATTTTCACTATGACTATGACATCTGTATGTGCGTTAGATAAATTCCCTATTATGTTAAAAATTATATAACCTTTAAATTATATTTCATTTTGTTTAATATTAATATAATAATAACTAGAATTCACAATATTTTTGTCACTTAACTTGCATAAAACAACCTGTTCAAATATTAACAACAATTACATATAAAAATAATTTAAACCAATTTGTTTTATAAATGTATTATCAAATTAATACATATAATGTGCCGTCCATATACACCGATATACCCTTAGAATCTAATAAATGTAGATATTACTATAATACAGATATATAAATAATTATACCTGTACAGGTATATGTCTACATTTATTTAGTAAAAATGTTATTATGTAATAACAATTGTGATCAGTGTTGAGCACTCGTATAAATTTATAATGAAAGATTATGGAATTTCCCATGGTAAGTTTACACAAATGCCCAGAACTGACATAGATATAGTAGTATTAACTTAATAAAAATGTTGTGTTTGCACAATCATATTATCACAATGATTGTCTAGGCATCCAAGTGCTCCCCGACATGCATGAGCCCAATGGGAACGACACTTGACATTCTTGGCGCATAGATATGAATAAATTTGTACTGATTTTATTGAGCTTAATTAATAGGTATTATATTTTTTTTATCAAGATATAAATCGGTGTGATATAACTAGTATATAAGCCATTTGTTAATAAACAAGTACTCAACAAATTGCTTGCTATAAATTAATTGTGATAGTTAGTTTTATAGTAAAAGTAATAATTATTTCATATAATAATTTTTATATAACTAACTTTAATTTTCACATTTAGCAAACAAATAAGCATATAATGAAATACCTGGTGCTATTACTGCTGGCCTGTGCCGGCTGTTTAGCCGACAATCTCAACAACCGTTTAGATTGTTATTTAGAGCGTAAGTAAATTAAATTAAATTTATTATTAAAACTGCATTTTTGTTATAAACTGTAAAATATTGGAGGAATTCTAAATTGAAACCGTAAACAATATATACTGTATTTTGATTTATTTAAATGATTTTTCTAGAATTATTAAAGTCTTAATTAATATTATATTATAATTTAGTTGATATGCAAGTGAGTGAACAGCAATGTAAGGACAGGGGCTGTATATGGGATTCGACGGGACGGCCCCCGGGAGTGCCCATATGTTATTTGGACCCAAAACAAGTCGGCTATAAAGTGCCCGCAGGTGTCAAGAAGACCGACACCGGACTGGAGGCCGATCTTAAACTGAAAGATACGGCCAAACGTACCCTCAAATCCATGCCATCGATAGAGAGCCTCAAGTTTTCGGTCAAATATATGACCGAAAATATACTTCGGTTTACAATAAGAGATCCGGCGGTCAAGCGATACGAAGTTCCCGTTCAACAGGTGTTTAATCTGTTGGACAGGACTGAGAGAGACGAGCAAAAGCGCAGGTATGCCGTCGACGTCGGCACTGATCTCAACGACTTTCAGTTCACTATAACTCGGAAAGACACCAAAACTAAAATGTAAGTTATATTTGTCATTGAAATAAAGTAAACGTGTTATATAATTTTCTCTCTCTCTCTCTCTCTCTCTCTCTCTCTCTCCCTTTCCCTCACTCTACTAGTTTTGACACATCTATCGGAGGTCTAGTATTTGCCGATCAATTCCTACAATTGGCCACTAATTTGGCCACAAATAATATCTACGGCTTCGGCGAGAATGTGCACCAAAGCCTACGACACGACCTGAGTTACAAGACTTGGCCGATGTTTACCCGAGATAACCCTCTCGGAGAGGTATATAACAAATCATATTGATTTGATTAAAAATTTCACTTACATGGTATTAATAATTGTTAAACTAATTGAAAAATGTTCTCGGAATGTTTTTACAATTCCTAAACCCGATAGCATATGAAAAATCTCTACGGCGTTCACCCGATCTATACTGTACTGGAATCGGATGGCAAAGCGCACGGAATACTGTTTCTCAATAGTAACGCTATGGGTTAGTGTTTACCACATGATCATATTTTATATGAGGTTGCAAATTAAGTTTCATTACTAATATTAATAGTTAATTTATATTTTGATAGATTACACACTTCTACCAGAGCCGGCATTGTCATTGAAAAGCACCGGGGGTGTTTTGGACTTTTTCGTGTTTGTGGGCAATAATCCGGAGCACGTGATACAGTTGTACACATCAGTGATCGGTCGGTCAACAATGCCTCCCTTCTGGGGTCTGGGCTATCAATTGTGTCGATACGGGTTTACTGGCACACAGAATGTACGCGAAGTACTCGACAGGAATATTAAAGAAAAAATACCCTTGGTTAGTATTAATATAATATAAACTCATTATGTTTATGCTTATAATATTTACCATAATTAACATGAATTAAATGTTTTAATTATTACACAATAGGATGTCATGTATATCGACATCGATTATATGGATAAGTATGAGGATTTTACGTACGATAAAAATAAGTTTGCCGGCCTCCCGGAGCTATTCAAAACGAGTATTGCCAACAACCATGTCCACTGGACACTTATATTGGACCCGGCCATTGAAGCTAATAACCCCAACTACACAACATTTAACGAGGGCTATAAACAGGACGTGTTTATCAAATGGTCCAAAGATGTGGCGGTGAAGGACCGACAAAACCCGTCCGGAGTGCCCACCGATAAGGACACCATTTACGGCAAAGTGTGGCCCTCAGGTCCCGCCGCCTTCCCCGACTTTTTCAAGAATAAAACCACTGATTGGTGGGCGAATCAAGTTAAAGCCCTGCATGGTGTTTTGCCCTTTGAAGCTCTTTGGATTGTATGTAGTAATCACCGATCATAGCCCTATCACTTATTATAACCTCTTTTCATGATGTTAATAATTTAATTCATATTAATGTTTTACGTAGGATATGAATGATCCCTCTAATTTTGAATCAAAATGTCCAAATAATAAGTATGATTACCCGCTGATTAGATCATGTATGTAATAATTATTTACTAAATTATCACAATTGAATTAACAATAATTTCAATTGTTATATATTTAAGCGGCCATTTGGGGCCGACAACTGTCCGAAAAAACCATATGCATGGCCAGCACTCAGGGAGATCAGGAACAGTATCGTCATTATGATGTGCACTCATTATATGGTTTAACTGAGACTATTAGTACACAAAAGTATGTGACCCTAACTTTGATTTATTCTTGATGTTAACAATTTGACTATAATTAACCATTCTTTGATTGCAAACAACCTAAATATAATCATAGTGTATAGTATTATTTATTTGCCTCCACAGGGCGTTACACGCAACCACTGGTAAACGCGGTTTCGTAGTGTCCCGGAGCACATACCCCACATCGGGCCGATACGGCGCCCATTGGTTGGGAGATAATAGAGCCGAATGGAAAATGATGCACCACTCGGTGGTCGGTATGCTTGAGTTTAACATGTTTGGCGTTAGTTTTGTAAGTAACTTATTTTCGTATATTCAGTGACAAATTAAACAATTACTATTACGGTAATATCACACACATTCTCTTGGCACAGGTCGGCTCTGACATCTGCGGCTTTATAGGGGAGACAAATCCCCAATTGTGCCGCCGGTGGTCACAATTGGGCGCTTTCTACCCGTTTTCACGCAATCATAACGATAGAGGTTATAAAGATCAGGACCCGGCCGTATGGGTGAGCAGAGGACACCCGGAGGTGACTGAAGCGGCCCGCACTTCGCTGCAACTCCGGTACCAACTGTTGCACTACTTGTATACACTATTCTACCGGAGCTATGTTTATGGCGATACAGTCGCCCGACCCCTGTTTCACGAGTGGCCTCAGGATAAGAACACGCATATCATTGACACTCAGTTTATGTGGGGCCGGGATATCCCTTCCTGTTTGAGGTACGGTCTCTCTCTCTCTCTCTCTCCCCTCCCTCCTTCCCTATTCTTACTCAATAAATTAATTATTTATTTATTCACCAAACTATCCTATTATACAAACTCTAGAACCAAAAACACGTGGACGCATACCTACCCCCTGGCGAGCGTTGGCACGAAGTCCGGCCTCAATTAAAACTCGCGCCACAAGTCGGACACATCACTATTCAAGACACTCAACCCAACGGTCCGCCACCCGTCCACTTCCGGGGCGGAGCCATAATACCTATGGCTACAGACACTCAACTGACCAGTACTACCGGTCCGGCTATGAATGAAATAGACCTCGTTGTGGTGCCTAATGCCAAATGGGAGGCCAGGGGTGAACTGTTTTGGGACGACAGAGAGGGCATTGATACCATAGATGCCGGCAAATATAATTTATATTCATTCTCACAATATGCCAATTGTACCATGGTACTTACTGTTGACAAAGCTGGATATACCGGTGCCGCCCACCCCACTGTTCGCCAAGTGCTTGTCCAAAGTACTGGCGTTAAAGAGCACGGTGTGGAGGCTAAGCTAGATGCTAAGGTTGTGCCGGCTAAACATGGTGAGAATGGTGACACAAAAATTTACCTTAGTTTGACCCTTGGTGATAAATTGGATCAGCGTTATGTTATCACGTGGACCGATACCACGACCAAACAATGCGATATGAAATAGACAATAGTTATGTTAATGTATTTTTTAAATGCACTAATTAAATAATATAAAAATAACTTTGCAATAAATAAATATCATTTTATTAATGATGATAAATATTTATTTTTTTCTTAAACTACTACTACCTATTTATAAATAATATATTGTAATAAAACATAAAAATTACAATGGAATTTATTGATATAGTTAGATTATATAATCAATGGCCTTATTTTATAACAGAATGTTCAAATACCCACGATACTTATGTTTTAATGATAATTGTACAGTTAAATTCCATAAATCACGGATTTTCTATTAGTGCAAGTTGTGTTTTTGTAATATAACTTGCTCTAATAGAAAGTTCATGATTGATGTTGTTGTCAATTTTAATGGAAAATTTTAAAATATTTAGATATCATTATTAAATACAAAAAATTTAATCTTACATACACATAGTGATTCTAGTTTGTAAGTTCATTACGATTATTTTATCACATAATTTAGTATTATTTAATATTATAAACAGTTATAAATTGTTTTTCATGAAACTACTATCTAAATCTTATAATTTATAAAACAATTTTTGATATAATCATATAAATAAATTTGCGCAATATACTACCTTACAATGCCTCTATTTACCATGCCCGATCCCGATTTTAATTAAATTGCGTTATTCCGAGAGATTAGGGCATATAAAACACAACCATGTACTTTTTAAGTGATGGCATTCACTTTGGGAGGCATGAGAGGGGGTCAAATATTTAATATTCCTCATT